TATAGTAAATTCCTCCTTATCACATCACCATTATAGTTAAATACGAAGCTTCAACAATCATATTCACAAAATTGTACAAAACGGCGCGCACAGCTGCTATTTATACAGTCAATATACGTCAATTTTCAGGCATATACAGACTTGCTGTTGTGGTAGAATAATTTGGAAGGTACCAAGGCCCTCCACTATGAAGTTTTTTGTCTTATAGTTGCTCAGCGCTTTCCTGCCTCTGGTCAATGTGATGGGGTAGGCCAAATAATAAATATTCACAAGACCGATGATTTTTGGATGAAATAATTTTTAATGGATCTGGTATCCAATTTCGTTTGGTTTCAATTATGACTATTTTTTTTTTTTTTTTTTTTTTTTTTTGGGCCACCAGTTTAAGGTATTATTCTTCTTAGGACAAAATTATGCTAAATTTGCCAAAATTATGCCAAATGCTAAAAGTGTCTAAATCATGCCAAAAAGTATAATTATGCCAAGTCGGTCACCGATATAGAGAAGTAACCTCAGTTTAAAGCCCTTGTCTACACTATCAAATTTCATCAGAAAAGCGTCACATAAAATTTGATGGAACAGAGTTGAACACGTTCAACATTTTTTGATACAATTTAATGATATGTAATATGACGGCATCGTACCCATATATGGGCACACCACATTTTTTTGTCACATAAAATTTGATAATGTAGACAAAGCCTAACTCGCTCTTTATTGTATGGGCGGTTATTAGGGCCAAAATACTCTACTGTCTAACTGCACTCATTTTCAATATTAAAGCGGAAAGTACCGGTATACAATTGTATCATTCTCTTATCGCCAAGTGATTTTTTTTGTTCAAAATTCAAAGTTTCTATTCTGTAACAGCTCCGATGAGGAGCTCTAGGAGTAGGCCTACTCGGCTGATTGGTTAATATATCTTTTCTTCTTATTATTGATTACAGTAATAGATCTTTTTAGCTCCCATGAGAAGCTAGACTCGGCTCATTGATTAATAGATCTTTTTTCGTCATTGATTAATAGGCCTAGATCTTTTTTGTATGGGCGGCTGTTAGGGTCAATACTGCTTATAATCTTTCAATGATTGTATATCTTTTTTAGTCATTGATTAATGGAGTTTTTTATATGGGCGGCCGATAGGGCCAATATACTCTACTAGCTCTATTATATTCAATTCAATTCAATTCAATTAACATTTATTCAATTAATTAATAAATACATCAAGTGATAAATAAAGTGAACAACATTAAAATTAATTAATTAGGATCAAAATAGAAGCAAAGCTTGTCTCAATTTGACCCCGACACAACAAAAAGTGAAAACTAATAATAAACGCATATCAGGTAGACCTACATTTTATATACAAATATACATATATACATATACATATACACACATATACACATATACATACACACACGTACATACATACATACATACATACATACACATACACACACTTACATACACACACATACACCCCCATACATTCATGTAAATACACACACACGAACACACACATATACATACACACATACATAAATGCACACACACACACACAAATCAACATATACACACTTA